GGTAGCAGGATCATGAAGGAGTTTCTTAAATTTTGTTATTGTTCGTTCATTACCTCCCCTGCTACCCTCCTAGACACAGCCTCTTTGATCTCTCGCTTGGATGATTGCAGCAGCCTCCTAACTGGTCTTCCTGCCTCTTCTCTTGTTCACTCACAGTCTATTCTCAACACAGCCAGAATCATCCTGGAAATCATGAGTCAGATCTTGTCACTTTTCTGCTCAAAAGTCTCCAGTGGCTTCCCATGTCACACTGAGTGAAAACAAGAGTTCTTACAATGGTCTCCATGACCAGAAGTGATGTGAACGACAGTTGTCATTCTCACAACATCTTGTTCTGCACTCTTCCTTGCCTCACTCTGCTCCAGCCACACTAGCCTCCTGGCTCTTCCTCAACGTTCTAGGGACGTTCCTACCTGAATATTGGAAAGTTTTATTTTACACAGAAGTCAACCGTATTTTTCTTAGTTATTTTAATAAAACAAGCGTGCGTGAACATTTGGTATTTTCCATTTCTCTTGAAGACATATAACTTAGTCTTTGGAGAATTCATCTGAGATGAGAGGAATGTATCTCTGTCCACCTTCCAAAGTTGCCTAGGAATACATGTGGGAGAATGCGAGAGTGGATCCATCATGAATGCTCCAGAGGAAATTTTCACTTATCAACAAGGGCCGAGAAAGAGAGAAAGAGAGAGCGAGAGAGACAAAGACAAAGAGACGGCGAGGAGAGGAGAGAACTGGCAACTGCAGTTAGACATAGGGAGGTGTAAGCTAGGCGAGGTCATGGCCTGTAAAGTGAAGGGCCATAATTTCCATAGGGTTACAGGAAAGACATGCAAAGACCATTTCAGGCAAAGCAGTAAAGTCCCTGAGACCGAGAAGATAGGAAAAAGTTTAGTGAATTTGAGAACAAAAAGACCAGTGTAACTAGGAGAAAAGCAATGGCAACGTGGCAATGGAGAAGTAGAGAGCCAGGTCATGCGGGCCTTGAGGTTAGGGTAAGTCGTTTGGATTTTATTGTAGATGCAATGGAAAGATCACTGAAGGGTTTTCAACAGAGGAATGACAATGCTATTATAACATTGTTTGTGAAGTTTTGGATTAAAATCACCAAAGTCACAGATTAATCAAAATGGAATATGACAGCTAGCATTTAAATGACAGTCAATTTTTTTCTTATTCTACAGTAAATATTACTTTATACATATCACCAATGAACCTGGGTGAGGGAGTGGCTTCATTACTACTAGCATTTGTAGAGTAGTTGTAACACGCTGAATGCTTTAAAATGGCTTTTATTCGGTGCTTACAATAAAATTGAGGCACTGAGCTTTCAGTTACTAAAGAACCATTTATGCTTAAAAAGGCTTTTGATTGATTTCTTCCCAACAAGCTATGTGCATTAACTCAAACTCAATCTGGACAGGAGCCTGTGTGTGTGTGTGCAAATGAGAGTTGAAGTGTCAGTCTCCAAGGACCGAGCTTGGTTGGCCCTTGTTGATGAGCGAAAATTTCCTCTGGAGCATTTGTTACAAATCCACTCTGGCATTCTCCTAGATGTATTCCTAAGCAACTTTGGAAGGTGGACAGAGGTACATTCCTCTCATCTCCAATGACTTCTCCAAAGACTAAGTTGTACATCTTCAGGAGAAATGGAAAATACCAAATGTTCATGCATGCTTGCTTTAGTAAAATAACTAAGAAAAAACTGGATTGGCTTCTGTGTAAAATAAAACCCCCAATATTCAGCAGTTTAAAGGAAGCTTTAGACTCTTTAGTTACAGATATTGCTGAGTAAAGGCAATAATTCAGTATAGAAATATACTTCTGGCAGCATTTCTTTCAAAATGAATTTTTATCCTATTTTCCCATTAGGAAACAAAATGTAAACTTCCAGTCACTCAGATATCGACCTACTCTCCCTCTCACAAAAAGGATACTAAAAATGTAAAAGAGGGGATAAGCCCACATGGGCAAAAATACTAGACGCCCTACTCAAAGCAAGCCGAAGTACCCCCTAGAATACAAGAAGGCCTCAGGCCTTGGAAGCTCTAGGTAACAGTGCACGTCAGGATGCACGATAGGGTTTAAAACAGAGGGATTGCGTAAAAGTCTGTAACTAAAGTTACAGGCCCCCAACGACCCACAGGCAGGGTGGCAAACCTTTTGTTCTCTGGAGAAAGTGTCCTGGAGACATTCTGGTTTCAGAAGACCAGACAGAGAGGGCACAGGTAATCACAGGGCTGAAGGCAGGCAGACTTAGGGGGAGTCTACCAACTGAACTTGGGGGATATCCTGGCCCAGAAATTTAGCCCAACCAGCAGCATAAATGATACTCAATATTTTAGGGAGCTTTTACATTGGGGATTTTAACTTAATCACTTAGTTTCTCTGTAAAATGGAGTCTCAAGGCAGAATTGATTCGAACAGTACTCTTGCGGCTTGTACACAGACATTCATCTTGGTTTCTTGGACTCTGAGCCTGAATTTCTTGTTAAATGGAGAAAGCATAATAAAAGCAAACAAGAATACGATGAGCAGCATTTCTCATCTCATAATCAATAGAGAAGTAAAAATAATTTTCATATAAACTCTAAAAATACTAGAAGATATAGCACAACATGTTATTTCACAGGATGTTTTATTTACTGTCTCAATGGGATATATTTTAAAAGCTTAGAAAATATTGTAAATCCACGGCATAGCCACTGAATCTTATATTCAGTTATCTTCTTGAGACAATTAACAAAACAAAATATACATTCAAACGAAACATGTATCTAAACCATTTAGAAATAATTAAAATTATAGATCAGGTTTTCTTTCACTGATCACAAATTATAGTAATGCTTTTGTGGTGCTCATTTCCGGGCTCTCTTTGGTGTGTTTATTAAAGCACAATATTGTCAGATCACAGGGATATCTCATTTTCATTTTCATATCTCCAATTCTAAAGGGGATTAAATTATCCAATTAAGCAGTTAATTAAAAAGACTCCTACAGAATAAACTGCAGGCTACCAATGGCATTTTAAATTTTCATTGTGCTGTGCTCAAAAGCAATTTCCTAAATTCAGAAGAGCTCAAAGTTACTGCCCTATATTTCACTTTAGAAGGTGTGGCTGGGATTGCTAGCTGATAGCCAAACCCATCTCCTCTTCTTTCTGGGCACATACCTAGACCATATATCCTAGCCTCCCCTGCAGTTACGTTTGGCCACATGACTGAGCTCTAGCCAATGGAATATGAGCAGAAGTGACATAGATAACTTCTACGACTAGACCAAATCTTCTGCTCAAAATCTTCCATGGCCTCTTCCCATCCACCAGCTTCTTGTAGATGAGCATGTATTCAGTTGTGTTGAAAACGGCAGAATCACAATATGGAAGGAACCTGGGTCCCTAAATTACCACTTAGAGAGAAGCTCACTGATCATTAATACCCACTTTGTATGTAACGAAAACAAGAAATAAACTTAAATTGGGTTAAGCCATTGAGATGATCCATTTCAACAGCTAGTGTGATCGTAATTAATAAAGAAAGCAACTGAACTTGAGGGACATGCAAATAGTTTAAACCTAATTGGAAACATTAGCCTCTTTCAAATTTTGATCAGGTCCACTTAGATATATATCTAAAAATTGAAGCAGATTCAATACCTCTTGGGTCTCATCAAATCTATCATATAGACCATAGCAAGAGAGATTCTAGACTTCTTGCCTCCATTCCCCCAAAGCCCCTCCTTCCTGTCTATGCCCCAGAGATCACTCATAAACTCTGTCATTTCTATGCATATTTCTTCTGCTACTACCCAACACACAAAAATTCTTATTTCAAGGATCAGCTCAGAAACTAGAGTAAACTCTCCAAGAGGGGCACTAACAGGCCATATTCAGCCACTTACTACCCACCAACTCTGTATCCATCTGATGTCTATCTCCTGTACATGATGCTGTGGCTCACCTACTACAAACCAGTACTGTTCCAGATCTTAGAACACATCAGTGCCAGAAAGATGTTGAAAACAGTCAACAGGGGGTCTACTTGCACTGCCAGCCTAACCCCAAAATGCCACATAGAGAAGTTAGAATGAATTCTATGCTCTGCCTCTGGATTTGTCTGGAGTCAGGCAAGGCAGTCAGGCTTTCGTTGTCCTGCACCACTCACTGTCCAAAGGTCACCAGGGGATATAAATACCCACGCACTTTCAGTTCTCTGAAAGTGCATGGGGCAAAGAGGCTTGAGTAGCATAAGGACAGCCATCCTAGAGAGCCACAGCCAATTAGAAAGAAAAGCACGCAGAAGGTGAGGTTAGGGTGCCCAGTAAAAGGGATTTGCTGGGATCTGGCCAGAGGGAGCACTGACAGCATCCACCAGAAGTGAGTTGAGTAATTCCTTCTCTGTGCACCAAACCACAACCTGATGTCCTTGGATCATCACACTTGTCACGAAGTAGGGTGACTGTAACAGTTTACATATCTGACTCCCATGTTAGACCAGACTGTTCATTAAGGCCCAGAGATTTCATATGATCTGCCTAAGTACAGCCAGTTCAGTGATTTAAATATAATGGATGCTGAGTTATTGTGTGCCGAGTGCGTGAATATAAACTGACTAGATTTTTAAAGAAAGGTGATAGCACAAAGAGATTCTTTAGTTTGATAGTAACTGTAATGTTCACTGTCACTTTTGCAAGACCAGCCCCATTGTGGTTGATAACCTCCTCAGAAGCCTCCTTTTTCCTCAATACGAATATTATTGCATAAGAAATAAACCACATCCGCTGATTCATATCCTGGAAGAAAATACAATAACCACCTCGCAAATTTCTCATTGTCTATGGAGAAAGTTACTGTATTCAAATCTCAATTTGCTAAACCAAGAAATCTAGGCTACTACAGTGCTTTGTGTACTTTTTGGGCAAATATTATTGTCTAAAACAGAACTGAATATCTTCATAGATGTAATCAATTTTAATATTTTTTTACAAAGAGAGGAAACAGAAAATCTTCAACTTTTTATTGTCCTTAAAATGATTGTTCACACTGTTTCACAAGTAGGGGAAGAAAATACAATGACCATTTAGATATAAAATGCATAATCCAAGAACACCTTTCTTCAAACCAGAGGGGCACTGCCACTGGTGATGAGAATGTTGCTGCATGAAATAATCACATATTCTTCCATAATTTAATATGCAACTGAGACGTTAAAAATATCAAGGAAGCAGCTTATCAAATGCTGAGTGATTATAAAAATACTGAAGGAATGAACGTATTTAGAAATGGGATAATCTAAGAGATGAGGGTTAATGCAAAGGTCAGCAGCAGCCCAAAGAACAAAAGACTCTGCCTTCCCTGACTCTGGGGTACTTGATAAGTGGCTTCAAACTCCCCACTTCTCTGGCACCAGCATAATCTGTGTGGCAAGCCATAGCTCCTAGTTGCTCCTTAGCGATGCTCCAGGGATAAATAAGATAAAATTTATGTGCTATGCTTTAAGCTCCATTGAGGAAAGGCACTGAATAAACTTCAGGATAATTTATGAATCCTGAGCTTGCATTAGTCATGTCCAAGTCCATCTCATAAAAGGAGAAAATGGAAACAGGCGGCCAATGCTGTGTGGTTAGTGAAAAGCTCAACAAACTTTGGGCAATGGTGATAAGCCCAAACAATACCACTTTATATGCATAAAATCCTTGAGAATTTCACAAAAAACCTTAACTCCTTCCAATGCTCAGACAATAGCTCACTGGCAGAACATCTGGTATATGAATCAGAGAAGTGTGTTATGGCAGTCTTAGTCTGAGATCCAATATCTAATTTCTTTTTAATTTACCATAATTATTTTTTTTAAAACTTCATGGCTCTACTCCAGTGGATGTGCTTAGCAAGGACTGCCAAAATCCTGTCTTCTCTTCAGAATCACATTCTTAAGCCAGCTTCTCACTACTTTTTTCCCTTCCCTTCCAGTTGCGTTTTACCTTTTTCCCTCTGCCAATTAATCACTGTCTGCTTCTTTTAGCAATCTGTATTGAGGAGAAGGGACAACAAGAGTGTAATCTGAAAATTTAAACATGAGCATATATTTGGAAATACAATCCTACCAGAAAATTCTTCCAGCTAGTAGTGATGATTTGGTATTGCTGCTTTGGGTTTCCTTTGTCTTAATAATGGCCATCCTATCTACAACTTTCAGTATAACGAAGTTACATCAAATAAAGTGAATCAGGACAAGGCAGCCACATCATTTAGAAACTGTAATGGCCCCAACGGATCACCAAGCAGCTTTTCTAAACCAACAAGTGACTGAATAATTCCCATTTCCAAAGTCATAACTCTATGCTTTTATCAAACACTTTCTCTGACCCGCAGGAATGTGTTTACTTGGAGTTTAAAAAGAGAGATCCAGAAGGAAAATGCTATTAATATAAGCATAACAAATCTCAGCTGGTTTTAAATGTCCAAGTACAGGAATAAAACAAGGAGTATCTTGTATGTCTAAACCAAATCAAAATGATTCCTCCAGAGAAAAGGCACAGATTTTTCCAGCACCCCTAACCTAAAACCACTTGTTTTTAAAAACACAAACTAAGGTCACATTAAGCCATGGTTAAGAGGAGGAAAAGGCAGCTGCCCTTCAGAAGTTTATCCATTCGGAGGGGAGGAAGTCAAGGGGAAAATCACTCTCCTCTGACTGACGCAGTGTAATTGTTTTCCTCATGATGGTGCCCCTGCATTTTTCTTGCTTCAGAAGTTCCCATGGTTACAAAAGGACACGGCACACACTTATATTTTTTTAAAAAAGAGGACAAATCACAGGGATGTAAAATGGCCTCCTATGGTTAGTCTGAATCTGTCATTTTGCTTTTGAGATTTTCCTATTTGCCCACTTAACCCAGAACTGCATGTAAAATGAATAATGTGAAGGGGGATGGCTATTTTAAGAAACCCGAAATGCCAGGTAACCACTTTAAGGCCATTACTATTTTATCCCCCCCCCCCCACACACACACACACAGAGTAATAAGAGGTGGAGGAGTTCACTTGAAAGGACAAAGTTCTGATGATCAAAAATGTAGTAGTGCTCTTTCCTACAGGCTCTTCAGAAAAGACTTGAAAAGTAAAGATTATGTTTCTTTGGACTACGCAGGGAACTTTGAATTCAACCAATATATTCTAAAATGTCTTCAAGCAAGAATTTTTTCAAAAAGATTTTTTAAAAGTAACATTAACCAACCCAAAACAGCAGGGCACTTTGTACCCTCCTCAATGTGGTGTTCAGCCCGTTGCACCAAAGGGGAATGAAAGTTACACATTCCTAATGGAGAATTAGACCCCTGCTCATTTCAGAAATGGGGAAACGCACATATATGAGGGTAGCAAGACAAAAAGGAATTGGACTAAAGAACAGTGTCTGGCAGACAGAGGTAATCACCGAGGTTTGGGCAGACTAGATCAAACTTTGGAGATTTCATCTCCTGGTATCCCTGCTGTTGCGTGACTAGGGGTTTTGACTTCTTCGGGACTTATAGATATATTGTTTTTTTTCTATTTGATAAACTCAAATCCTTTACCAAGTAGCCTTTCTGCCACCTTCACTCATGCTGATTTGAACAGGGCGATTGGCTTCATCAGATACACGCTGTGAGGCACATTTTCATTCCAATAGACTTCAAAACTGAAGGCAAGAACTTCAGCAAAAATTGTAAAATAAAGATCCAACATATTTCTAATTTAACTACCCTATAGTTAATAAATGCTGTGCAAGGATGATATATAAAATCTAGCACTGCATCCCACAGAGCAGTAAGACCTCCCAGGTAGCCACACACATGTCCTCATCGTTGAGGGTTACAAGTTTAATAGACTGAATTTTTTTCTGGATACATTCTACTTAGGGCCTCTGCAAAGCTGTAGATTAAAACGGTATGTACCACTTAGCTGTGGCTTACACAGTAAAATGGACAATAGCAACAATTTAGCAGATAGCGTTTTAACAAAAGTAGCCTAGGGATTTATTTTTGTTGGTTTGGTTTTCTAAAGCAACATACTTGGTTCACTTTTTGTATTCCACTTTTTAAGCCCTACAACTTTGAATAGATACTGTTTAGATGCAAGCAATACCCAAATAATGAAGATGCGGTAAAAATAAAAGTCCTCAGGGGAATATAGGCCTAAAGCAGCAGGCGATGAGTGCTCAGTGCAGCCTCTGCTGGCACTGCACTGCTCTCTCAGGATGGCATAAACCAGCAGTCCAGCTACCAGAGTCGGCAGGAGTCCATGCCTCTGTTCATCGTGGAATTGGATGGACAGTTAAAAGCTTTCTGGAATTCTTCAAAGTTGCTAACTGCACCATTGACCCTGAAAAAGATATGTCAAAGCCCATGTCATTTCATTCTTACATATCAACAGGTTCTAGATAAAACTGTAGCAGCATATTGCTCGAAGGGATGCTGCATTCATTTAATCTGTTTACAGGGAAGATAACGGAAGGCCAAAATGGTTAAGTAAATTTCCAAAGAAATTAACAGAGCTGAGACTAAAAACCAGCACCTCCTGAACGCCAGACAAATGCTCCTATTAATCTTCCAAATATCTTCAAATTCCTATAAACTGTAGGATTTACAATTCTTATAAATTATATACAGGATTGTATATTCCTATAAATTTACAAATTCCTATAAACTGTGAGAGTTACCAATACTTAGCTTTTCTATTTTTTTTTTCTTTTTGCTGAGGAAGATTCGCCCTGAGCTAACATCTGTCACCAATATTCCTCTTTTTGCTCAAGGAAGATTCACCCTGAGCTAACATCTGTGCCAATCTCCTCTATTTTCTATGCAGGTCACTGCCTCAGCATGGCCGCCACTGAGTGTAAGTCTGTGCCCAGGAACCAAACCCAGGCCACCAAAGTGGAGCATGCCAAACTTAACCACAAGGCCACGGGGCCGGTGGCCAGCTTTTCTATTCTTTTAATTAAAATTTTTATGGAAGGTATAGCTGATATAAAGTGCACACATTTTAAATGTAAAGCTTATCAATTTTTTCGTGTGTATACAACCAGGTTACTACCACCCAGATCAAGACATGAGATATTTCCAGCACCTAGAAGGTTCCCTTGTGTGCCCTACCAGTAGTACCTCCCAGGATAACTACTATAGTGTCTGACCTCTATCACCATAGATTAGTTTTGCCTGTTTTTGAACTTCATATGAATGGAATCACACAGTGTGCACTTTTGTCTCTGATTTCCTTCATTCAATATATGTCTGTAAATTTCATCTATGTTGTTGCTATCTTTAAAGAACTCATTCAATCTACATTGATTGAATTGGAGTCTCTAAATTCCTATTATGTTTGAAGGCTCACATTTACCCAGAATTTGGTTCATGCAACAATAAACTAATGAACGGTGTCTAGTTGTTATTGATGAGTAATGGTCTACTGGAGTTAGCTCCAAAATCTGGTGTTCTTAGAAGTATTCAGTAAAGACCTCAGATTCCTACTCAGCACTTTTATTGTAACTGCCTTTAGGAAGTGGTATTTCCATTGTGTGATTTCTGCTGCACTCAAAATCTATAGTTACTGCAGACATCACTAACACGCCAGCAAAAAAACTCCCCTCCTCATCTATTTCTTACTCAATTGTATGTTCAAAGGGTTGACCAGAGACTCAGCATTCTCAGTCACTATTTCTTCCCTAATGACTTTGTTACCTATGGGCATTTGAATGAATGTAATGGCCTGTATCCCAAAAGTCCCCACAACCTCCTGTGTTTTAGCTGGGATATATGGACAGGGATGCATATTTTACAGTGTGATTCACCATGGGCAAGTGTTAAAGATAGAATTGAGCTGATAATTAGTAAGTATTCCCTGCAAATTATCAGCTAAAATCCAACATTACAGGCAACTAGTTAGTAAAAGAAAATTAGTTTCTAAAAACTTATCTGTTGAGTAATTAATCTACTGTGTGGTTTCATCTGCACCATTTGTCAGTGGGAGCACATTTTAGTCCATTAGAGGCTGTCACCATTCTTGACGGTTTAGCCCAGTGGGGGAGAATTTCTAACACAGTGATTAGATTTTATGCTATTGGGTAATTTACAGTCAATTTCTGAAGCATTTCTAAGGCAAGGTTTTAGGAATAAGATTTTAAAATATAGGAGAAATTTTATATGAATTTCTTGCAGTACGCTAATAGATTCATTTAAACATTAAATATAAAGATATCCAGATATAATATGTTCTAAGAAAAGAATGAATAAATATAAATTACTGTGATTTCTTGGTTTTGCCACTATAATTCTCTGAACCCTACTACAGAAAATTTCCCTCAAACTCTGCTGGAAACTTAGCACATGGTAAGTAATATTAACCTTAATTTTATTTTTACTTAATATTTTATATATTCTGATAATTAAATAAGATTGTAATTCATAATCCTTTTCCCTTCATATATAAGCAATTGTTTCAAAATATGATACAAACTAAAAGCCAAAATGTAGAGCTTTTGACTCTAAATATGAATTATAACAGCTAAATATCACCATATATCCTTCTATGTGTTCAGAGCTATTCAGAAAGTGGGCACTCCTTCATGTCTGTTGGTTGGCTGCATGAAAGAACAAGAGGCATTAAATAGGAATTCTACAACATAAAATAAACCAGAGCTCTAGGTATTTTAAGGCACAGTACATAAGATCTTTTTCTTGTCTAAGAAAATAGAGACGTTTTTGGCCCAGACAAAAAATTAAGTGGTTGGGCCCAGCCCGGTGGCATACTGATTAAGTTCACATGCTACACTTCAGCAGTCCAGGGTTTGCCAGTTCAGATCCTGGGCACAGACCTACACACTGCTCATCAAGCCATGCTATGGCCGCATCCCACATAGAAGAACTAGGAGGACTTACAACTAGGATATACAACTATTAACTGGGACTTTGGGGAGAAAAAAACTAAAGAGCAAGATTGGCGACAGATGTTAGCTCAGGGCCAATCTTCCTCACCAAAAAGCATACCTAAAAATAAATTAAGGGGCCAGCCCAGTGGCGCAGCAGGTAAGTTTGCATGTTCCGCTTCAGTGGCCCGGGGTTCACTGGTTCAGATCCCAGGTGTGGACCTATGCACCACTTGTCAAGCCATGCTGTGGCAGGTGTCCCACAAAAAGTAGAGGAAGATGGGCACGGATGTTAGCTCAGTGCCAGGCTTCCTCAGCAAAAAGAGGAGGATTGGTGGCAGAGGTTAGCTCAGGGCTAATCTTGGCACCCGTGGATTTCTGCCTTTCAAAAATTGGAAGATAATAAATGGAAATCAATATTAAAGCTATGATTTGGATTCTAAATTCCCTTTGGAGTCTTGCACAATCTCATGGATCTCTTGACACAGCACTAGACTAGAGGTGGGTACAAGTGCTCACCAGAGAAATATAGTTGAGAGGATGCTGATTAAACCAGCTTCCTACTAATGAAAGAAAAGATGCTTAGTTTCTGTTTGGCCAGACTTTTCTTTTTGTGTCTGTAAAATGTAGATATCACACTGTTCACAATTCAGGCTTTTGTTCAGATCACCTATTTGTTAGAGCACTGGGATGGCTGGAAAGCGGAGGAGGTGGAGAGACGCACAGTTAAAAACTAATGTTGCCCATTTACCTGAACTGAGGGGGGCTGTGAGCACCAATTTGGACTTGTTCCCGGGCAGCTTCTGGTCTATAGGAATTGCACCTCACCTAGAAGAGAAAAGCATCTCAATAAATACGTTTCCCTTCCAATTACACATTTGCTACTGCCTTAACTGCTCCAAATTATACTGTAGAGTAATTTTAGAATCCATGGATGACAAACAGTTTTAGTAGATCAGATAAAACCTTGGTCAGTAGTAACATCTATTGTTCTAATCCCCAGAGTAGAAGGTTTTATCATTGTGGACAATTCCACAATGTGAGTAAATTATGGTTTCCAGACAAATGCTTTAAATCAAGAGAAGAGTGTATGTGCCCAGGAATCAACCAATATATTCATTCAATTACTAAAATGCTTGGAATAGCCCTTATCAAATTTAACCATACTCATTTGAATCAATAAAATGAACCAACCATCATTATTGAGTATGGTCATGAGAAGTTAGTATTTTGCACCCTGGGGGCCTTGCTTGCCTCACCTTAGTCCAGGCCTTGGATAGGAGGACATTTCTCCATCTCCTCTGAAGTTAGGCATGGCTATATGACTTGCTCTAACGAATGAAAAGCAAGCAGAAGTAATCTATATCGCCTCCTGGAGGATGCTTTAAAAATCACCTCCTGGCAGAAGCTTTAAGAGCCTTAAGAACAATTTAAGATGCTACATTAAGGACCAGTCCACATTTCTTTCCTATCCCTGTGGTGACCATGGGAGCGTATACCAAGATAGAGACTCTAAAACCCAGGTCCTTCAGTAATAACTATGAGCACAGCCCCACTGCTGACCCATGTTGGACATAGAGCAGGAACATGAAAGAAACTTTCCTTGCATTGTTTGTTTCTGTACCATAACTTACTTAATCCTGACCTGAAGCATGTCTTGAAAAATGATATAGTCTTGAAGTATGAACAGAACCAGGGCACATGAATATGATGTGAGGAATTCCAAGTGGAAAAGAAAACAGAAGCAGAGACATATTTGAGAAAAAAAGCAAGACACTCAGCTTGGCTGACTGTGTGGTGTATAATGGGCAGGAATGAGAGACCAGGGGTGAGAGAGGATGCTGCCAGATTTCTGAAGTCCTGAGCAACAGGCTAAAGTGTTTAAACTATATTTAAACATTGTTTTTGAGCAGGAAAATTATAAAATCCCTATTTTTAAAAGACTTATCTGGCAGGGGTGTATAGCAGGAGGAGGAAATAAGAGACTAGTTAGAAGATTATTTATGGGCAGCATGAAGATTCTTAATGAATGTCCACTAAATACGTAGAAATGGGAATGGAGAGAAGTGGAAGGACATGAAGAATATCTGAGGGAAGAATTGACAGGTCACAGAAACTACAGGGACAGAGGAAGCAGGAAAGGTGAGATGATGCTATTGCTTTTGATGAAGATAGTTATAAACTGTCTGTCACTGTGGTTCCCAATTTGACTTTGAAGATGTTTTTATAATGTGATTCCTTAATTTCCTCAGAAGCTAGCTAATGTGACATTTCTGGCATTCGATTTTACCTCATTTTTTCTTATGTTATTTCTTCTTATATTCTTACATCACTATATAGTACTATCTTTGCTGCATATATCATTTAAGAGATTTCTGAAAACGCATTACAGTTGTTACTATTTTCCTAGTACCTCCTCAGGAGAGAAAATAATTTTACTCCCTATAACCAGACTCATTCCAATGTGCAAAGGGTTGAAAATCTCCTCAACCCGGCAGTAGGAAAAGCTCCAAGATAAATTTCTCATTAGTGATATAAAATAGCTTGCCATTTTTCCCTAAATCTCTTTAGTTTAAAATAAATTAGATATGGTTTGGAATTTTATTTGGAGATATTTCAAAATTATGACTGTAATATGTTGCTACCAGTTAGGTTACTTCATCTACAAAGCGATATTGCGGACTAGGATGTACCAGGATGGATGGACTCTAAGTAAGTAAAGCCTAGGTAAGAAGTGATGGACCTTGTACTTTGTCCTCTAGAGTAGGGGTCAGCAAACCTTTTCTGTAAGGGGACAGACAGTAAATATTTTAGGCCTTTCAGATCATAAGGTCTCCATCGCAACTACTCAACTCTGCTGTTGTAGCACAAAACCAGCCACAGACAATACGCAAAGGAAAGAGTGTGGCCGTTTTCCAATAAAACAGTATTTACAAAAACAGACAGTAGGCCATATTTGGCCCATGAGTCCTAGTTTGCCAACTCCTGCTCTAGAAAGTTCTAACTATATTGTGTGTGCTTACTTTAGATATCTGACCCAGTACTGACCCAAAAGAAAGTCTCCTTAATTGAACTATTAGTCTTATCCTTTTCAAGCAATTCACCTAAAAATGTCAAGCATCTTCAATATACCCAGCACTTTGCTGGATGCTATGGAGATACACATGAAGTGTAAGGATCCAGAAGATTAGCTATGGAAATAAAACTAAAAGTCTTCAACATTTTGAGAACAATTAAGTACTCAACTGCCTGGTGATGAAGGTAAGTGTAAAGGAGTTGGAAAGTTAAAAAAAGAAAAAGAAAGAGAGAAATGGAGTCCTTGGGGAAGTTTGTGGAAGATGTGAAGGAAGTGGAACTCAACATGGATACTGAAAGATGAAGATGAGACTGAATAAGCCGAGGGTGAGGAGTAGGAAGGGGGTCACATTATAGAAGGAAGATCAAAAGCAAAGCCACAGAGACAGTAATGAGCATGACATTGTGGGGGAGAAGTGAGGACACCCGCCTGGTTAAGGGTGAGTCTGGTGGAGCTGTGGGAATTCAGAGCTGGTTGGGTAGAGTTGTGTAAGACTGAGAAGAACTTTGAAAGCCAGCTGGAGGTGTTTGGTCTCAATGAGGTAGGCACTTGGGAGCCCCTGCAGTTCCTTCAGCAGGTGAATAACAAAATAAAAGTGGTATTTCAGTAGCATGTAAGACAGACAGTGGTGGAAAGATGCCAAAGTCAGGAAAACATGCCATAAGGCTGTTGGGATGATCCAGAAGAGAAGAGATCAAGGCTTAGCCTATAGATGCGAGAAGGGTAAGAGGGAGAAAAAGAGGTGGAATCTGAAGAGCAGTTAAAATGATGAAATCATCTAGCTTTTGGGACAGGTGTCATAAAAATGAAGATAGATAAGACCTAAGAATCCAGGTTTTCTAACCAGGAAGACCCAAAGACTGGGGGTGTATTGAAATGGAAAAACTAAAAAGAAAAGTCATTTTGTTGATGACTCCAGTTTTGTTGATGTCATATTAATAAGTGATCATTTATTTAGTGTTGTCATGTCAGCTGAAGAAATAAAAGACCCCAGACAGGTGAGAATCCTTTAACCAGAGTCAGCCAAAGAAGACATGGGAATGGATGAGCTTACTGAGGAGTGAATGCAAAGACTGAGGAACAAAGGGTTGTACTAATGAAAACTTTTGTCTAGTTTTGAGCATACAGACACATTTGCCCACTGTGAGGCCATGTATTAGAACCTTCATCAACCTATCCCTGACCTCTTTGAAAATGAGGCCTACACATCTGCAACATAAACCAGTGCGATAACAAATAACAAAGAAGAATTGGCACTTGCTTCATTGGCCAGAGACTCGAACTCAGAACTGTGCCTTATTTAGTGAATGTCTTCTTTCAATTTCCGCTGAGAGCCCACTAAACTCACAAAAGAGTGACATGACTCCCCTTGCCTTTGTTGTTGCTTTTTTCAGCTCTAGTAGTCTTCACATATTCATTTGACAGTTGGGAACATAGCTTTGAGGGTCCCCCGCAGATTGAGAGTGATAGGACAAAGTCAACAAATGAGGCAAAGGAGAAAGAGGAATGCAGGAAAGGGCAGGACCATGGAAGCCAAATAACGAGTCACTAGAAATGGTTACAAATAGCATCAAATACATTAAGTCAGGATATATTAAAGAAATATCAAGTGAGTCACCACAGGGCTGGTAACCCACTTGATTAAAAATATCAATAAAACTTGACCAATTAGTAATTAACTATGTCCCATAGAACATTAAGAAGGTGAAACTTGTCCTGAAGATAAGCAGCAAGATAAAATTTCAGTGAAAATCAAAGTTATGCCATTAAACTTTTGTCCCAAACCTTTTATCAAGGGAGCAAGCCCAAGTCCCACATTTTATCTTTGATGGCCCTTCCTTGGTCTACTCACGTGAGCATAACTCAGGAAGAAGAGCTGGTTGTTGGTGAATGCGATGCCTGGTAGGAGAGGCTCCTCAACTCCCTGCCTCTTGTCATTTATCCATTTCCTGTAAGCCTGGTGAGAGAAGCAGAATAGATGATCCTCTGCCGTGATGGCTTTTCTCTTCTCTCATCCAGAGCAGAAATATTAAATATGTCCTCCACCATGTGCAAAATGCATCCTGTCAAGTTTTCTTTTAAGAAAACAAACACCTGGAAATGCAAATCAATGTCATATTGCTCAACAGTGAGGCTGGCTTACCTGCAGAAAGACCTTACACTCAATAGATACCAAAGCATCTGGGTCAAAGCATTCACTTGTTAAATAACTGCTCCCCGCCCTCCCCCCACCCCACACACACACAAAAGCTGTTCTTTCTATTCCTACCAGGGAACAAACAAATCTAACACAATAGCAAGGCCTATGGAAATAAATTTAGGGGTCAACATATTGCCAATTTTTCACTTTGCCAAGTAAGAGGGAAAACTATCATCTTCAATCACCATGATTTTATAAAATAAAGTATATTTTAACTAGAATATAGGAAGAATACAACCTCAGAATAACAGCCTGGTCTTTACATTGAATGCATTTAGCTTTATGAAAATCTTTCCACATAATCCTTATGTTTCTCGTTTAACCACAGACCAGTGGATGATGAAAACATTATTATGGACTCTTACCTGGCCCACTATATGAGAACCACTAGCCTCAGGCCATAATTTAGAAGTTTGGTATTTTAAGAGAAACTTATGAGAAGGGCTATAGAGAGAGTGTACTCAAGGAAAACTCATATGAACCTAGCCCCAAGGAGATTTCTGTAGCATGCTTTGATATTATTGTGAATGTATCTTTTGAAAACTATCCTTTAAATACATGATTCTTAATAACAAATATTATTCTTCAGGGTGACTTTACACCCCCCCCTCCAAAAAAGAAAGAACTGCCGCTCTAGTCATATAGTAGAGTATAATAGAGTCAATGGGGAAATATAATTCTATTTACAGAAATTCACAGAATTTACAGAAATCTAACTCCTCAAGAACATGTCTGTCTCTAAATTGAGGTACACCCAATATGGTGTTTTATAGCTTCATTTTTAAAATCACAGCAAATGTTGCAGTGCATACCCTAAAAGCTTCCCGCAGTCCTCCATTATCAGCAATATTTTCTCCCAGGGTCCTCTTCCCCTTCACCTAACAAAGAGAAAAAGAAAAACAGAGTGTTTCACAGCCAACTATCATTCAGCAAGAGGCATAAATATGATAGCAAGAAAAAATGCCATATTTTAAAGAGAAAATTACATTCAATAAAACAGAAGTAATCATAATATATTGTGAGATGGCAAACTAACCCCAGCAAGGTGCTCCTGAATATAATAATTTCTATTTTATTATGCTACACATTTCTTTCTTACCCACCTCTTTATTCTCACCAATTTAGCCAGTTCCAATAAAATGTTAAGAATATTCTGAGTGACTCTGGTTTAATGGGGTAAAAATAGAAATGTCAATATACAGATTACTTTCTCTGATTAATTCACATAATTTGAGAATTCTTTCCAGTGTACTTGTGTTTCCAAAAATCTACCATCCACATAGGAACAATATTTCAAGACCAACCAGCACCATGTGATCTTCAGTAATTTCCATGAAAAATTAAAAAGAGGGTAGTTCTCACGGGGAACAAAAATCAAATAGAAGTAGCACAGACCACAAGGTCAAGGTCTGCAACATGTATGACAACCAGCCAAGCATGGTGAAGAAATTCTTCCAAGCATCTGAAGATTGTTTTTAACTTAAACCCTTAAATAGGCTAGGATGAAAAATATTCTAAACCAATACAGTCTACAAGGCAAAACCTAACTTGCCACTTATTTTTGTACAGGCTGCAAGGTAAGACTGGATTTTACATTTTTCAATGGTTGGGGGAAAAATAGAAAGAAGGATAATATTTTGTGGCATGTGAAAATTATATGAAGTTCAAATTTCAGTGTCCATAAATCAAGTTTTATTGGCACACAACCACACCCTTTCGTGTACATTTTGTCTATGGCTGTTCTCTTACTACAGTGGCAGAGTTGAATAAATGCAAGAGACCTTACAGCCCACAAAGCCTAAATTATTTACTATCTGGCCCTTAACAGAAAAAGTTTGCCAATCCCCACACAGAAAGAAGGCAGAATAATGCTCCCCTCCAAAAATGTCTATGTCCTAATCCCTGGAAACTATGAAAATGTTACCTTATGTGGCAAAAGGGACTTTTAAATTATGATTAAGTTAAGGATCTTGAGAGGGAACCTGCATTATCCAGCTGGGTCCAATGTAATGACAAGGGTCCATATAAATAGAGGAAAAGGAAGTCAGGAGAGTGAGTGTGTCAGGGTGATGCAAAGTGAGAAGACTGGACCAGTCATTACTGGCTTTGAAGATGGAAGGTGCCAGGAGCCAAGGATGTGGGCAGTCTCTGAAAGCTAGAAAAGGTGAGGAAACAGACTCTCCCCCAGAACAGTTAGAAAGGAAAGCAGCCCTGCTGACACCTTGATTTTAGCCCACTGAGACCTGAGTCAGACATACAGGACTGTAAAATAATAAATTTCTGTTCTTTCGAGTCACTAAATTCGTGATGATTTGTTATAGCAGCAACAGGAAATGAATACACCCTGCTCTAAACTTTCAAGCCATGGATCCTACCAACTCTTTCCTTTCAAGCTAGCCCAATCACCCAGGTATCAAGCAATACCAACAAGTAAAAACAAATCTTCAGAAAACATTAATCTCTGTAATCACCCAGGACTCAACTAGCTTCAGTCCCAAAAAAGTTACCACTCCTGCTTCATATACATTCTTTCTTTCATTACAGTCCTACAGGGTTAAGTGCTATTATCACCATCCTTGCTTAACAAACAATGGATCTAAAGCTCAGAGTGTGCAGCAGATGTCGTTGGTGCCGCACCAGATCCCCTTTTCTACCAGGACTGTGCACCCATTCCTGCAACTGCTACCAGCTCAGGAAGATTAGTCTTAGCTTATAGGAGCTGCCTTACCTGGAGATTCCCGGGAGGTGATCCCCCCACCTCTCAGTAACTGACGTGTGGTTAGCACAGCCCAGCCCCTTACTCTGGGCTGAACAATTTCCATAGAGCAATTCAGGCTCCAGAACCCTCTGTGGGAAAAGGCTGAGGCTAAACTTCTCAAACCAACAGGTTTTCCTCATCGCCTTACAGGTCTCTCCTGAAACTACTTCTGTAATAAATCACTCACCTAAAAATTCCCTTCTTGGGCTCTGCTTCTAGTGAACCTGACCTAAGACACAGTTATTAAGTGAACTGCCCACACTTCACAGGGATTCAAACCCAAGCAGTCTGTCTCCAGACCCTCTGCTCCATAATATGCTACCTTCTTGAGTCTCAACTCCTCCTGACTCTGGTGCTTCTATGTATATCCACTCATGCTCGAATTTAATCTCCTTCCTTGTTCCTCTAAGCTTTATCTAAATTAGAGGTTTGGGGAGTAGCCTCACCCCTCTGGCTCTTCCCACTCTGGACCGCCTCAGTAGACCATACGGCCCTAGGTTTCCCTCAGGACTCAACAGCTGCTAACAGTCTGCTTCTGTGGCGCTCCATCAGAGCTCCCCCCAATTCACTGCAAAGAAGGATTCAGGCACAGATGACTGGCCTCCACAAAAGGAGCCAGAAAAATAAAGCGTGGCCCTTTATATCCACAAAGGAAGCCATCCCCTCTCCTCTGGGAATGAGAATGAAGCTGTTTTCTGATGGTTGAGTGGATTTATGCTGAGACAGGCATGCCTTTTCTATCATCCTTGTGACAAAGGTACACATTTGCCAGAATTCAGTTTCAATATCTGACACTTTGGCCAAAATGAACGTTGTAGAATAGCCCCCAAAACACATCGCCTAGGTATAAAATGAACTTAAAGTAGGAGAACCAGAGCATGATATGGGGGGAAGAGTATGGATTTTGGAGTCATGCCAATCTAAGCCCTAATCTAGACTCTACCATGAGTTTAAATCTCTTTGAGCCTCAGTTTCCTCATATGTAAAATAGGCTAGTAATATGTACACCTTTCAGGACCAGTATGACAATGAAATTTGTTTCAAGTAAGTGAAAAGTCTAACTCTGATGCCTGCATATAATAATCACTAGGAAATATGCATTCCCTTCCTTCAAGAAAACTGCTCTTCTATTGTTTCTTGGGTTTTTTTCAGTCCCAAAGTCTTTGGCTTTGTTTTCCCGTGGGATGGCATACCTATGAGTATGTCACAAAGTATTAGGAATATTAACTACAACTTGTTGAGCACTTATGTATGTCAGGCATTGTGCTGTTGCTTTATATTATTTCAGTCACGTAATTCTTACAATAAATTAATGAGTTCAGAAATAGTTACCCATTTCACAGATGAAGACTCTGAGACTTAGGAATGTTAAGCAACTTGCCCAAGTTCAAAAAACTTGTAATTGGTTGAACCAATATTTGGACCTTTGTCTGACTCTAGAACCCTTCCCCTATGCTTTTCTTGAAGCAACATGTATTCTAGATGGGTTTTTACAATGTGATAACCCCTGAATTAAATACAAATACACAGAGGCACCCATTTTAGTTCTTCTCGTGACACAGTTGTAGATATAAAAAGCAAAATATGGGCAGCAAAATGGCTTTCCAGGACATTGATGAAAGAGCTAGAGACGCTATTCAAGGATACAGACTCTGGTTTCCCCACCTGGATAAGGTGCGGTCTCCCTTGTGCTGAATATGGTTTAAGAACCAGGAGAGGGGCTGGTCCCATGACCGAGTGGTTAAGTTCACACGCTCCACCTTCGGCGGCCCAGGGTTTCACTGGTTCGGATCCTGGGCACGGACATGGCACCACTCCTTAGGCCATGTTGAGGCGGCGTCCCACATGCCACAACTAGGAGGACCCACAACTAAAAATATACAACTATGTACTGGGGGAATTGAGGGAGAAAAAGCAGAGGAAAAAAAAAAAAAGAAGAAGATTGGCAACAGTTGTTAGCTCAGGTGTCAATCTTTAGGGAAAAAAAAGAACCAGGAGGACCAAGTCAGTGTTTATAAACATTCCCTTTTAAAGTGCATGGATTTTTACCTAACTTCTTCTGCGATGGTGAAATAAACCCCAAGTACAATAGACTTAAGGCATAGCAAGGATTTGGGTGCTTTCCCAGCCCCAGTAAGATATCAGGATGGAGTACATGCTTAGTTAAGGGACCAAGAGACCCTGGGGAAACCACCTGAAGATACAGGGATCTACTCCAGTTCTGTGTGGTCCTCGCTTCTCTTAGGTGTTGTGCCCTTGACCAGATGAATTAGAAGCCTACAGTGTGTACATGTGTGTTTTAAAGGAAGGTCTTCCTGCAGATCCATAACCTACCAACAATTCTTCATTATTGGTTTCTTATTGTCAAATATAATGAGAGAAATCTGTGTCTTATAATTATGAAAGCAGGGATAGGAAACGCAATGGAAAACTACCAGAAAAAATTAATAGTGGGTGAAAGGCATAAAAACTAACCTGACCAAACCAGCAAAATAAGGAAAAGGAAAAAGAAGTTAAAAAAATGTACAGGAGATAAACTATATAGAGAAAATCATAAAATTGCATTTGGAAACCTAAAACAAACCAAACAGATGGAAAGGCATACCATGTTCTTGAACAAGAAGATTATATTAAAAAAATGTAAATTCCATACATTTAATGTGATTTAACTCAGAATCCCAAAGGCATTTTCTTTGCACGGGTGGAGGCCAGGGGGGCAGAATGGGTAAAATGATCTTTGAGCATATATAGAAGTATATTTGTCTGAGAATGGCCAAGTATATAAAAGAACAGTGAGGAAGAGCTTATATTAACAGATACCAGAACAATCCATACAGCCACAGTAATACGGCAGGGGTATAGAAATCAACAAAGAAATCAGCAGAATAAAATATATAATCTAGAAATTTATCTCAGCATATATGAGATTCTAATATTTGACAAACATTCAATTCAGTGAGAAAAAAATGTCTTTTAATCAATGATGCTGGGTCAACTGGCTATCCTTTGGAAGAAAATAAGTGTGAACTCTCATATTAAACTCCACAGAAAAATAAGTTTCACGTACATTCCATAAATGTAAAATAACAAAACAACAAAAACCTCCCCGGAAAGGCTGGGAGACTACATATGTGATGTAGAACGGAAATGCAGAAACTACTTTTTGAGAGCTAGGTATCTTTGACTATACAGAAATGTTTAATTTTTATATGTCAAAAGACACCATATACAAAGACTAACGGATGAGTAATATATCAGGGGGAAATACTATAATGCGAATGATCGATAAAATCTGAACATCCATAATATTAAAAAAAGTTCTCATAAATTGACAAGAAAATAACTCAAGAGATAAATGATCTTTCATACATCACTGGTGGGAATATGAAATATTATAATTTGTTGGTGACAGTAGGAATCTATCCTATAGGGAAAAAAAGAATATGCACATAATAAGAGTGTTTATTGCAGCAGCATTTATTGTGGAAAAATAATTGGAGAGAAAATATAACCCCTCAACAAGAGGTTAGTTGAGGACATTATAGTCACACTGTGGACTTTTAGGCAGCCACTGAAAACTATGAACTAAAAGGACGCGTGTGTGTATGTGTGTGTGTGTATCTCTACATGAGCATTGGAAAAAGTATCAGGGTGATTAAGATAGATTCCAGGTAGGGAAGATAAGACTGATGAGAAGGAAAGGGGGAGGTAAAGACATAAAAAGAAAAGGAACAAAACTTCACACACACAAACAGCATGCATGAGATCTCATTTGTGCCTTTATGTAAATTTATATATGTATATATAATAGAAAATAAACATTTTACAAGCATATTTCTTTTGTTCAAATTTCTATAGCTAAGAACTCTTAGCCAATTCAAAGTCATTAGTTCAAATTAGTGAAGTTTTACTTCTATTAACTAAACTTAAGCAGTAGTTTGAAGGAAAATTTTTTTAATCATATGGATGTAGATTTACAAGAATTTTATTGTTTATCTTTGCTACAGGATTTTCTACATTAATCTGAATCTAGGAAAACAAACTAATGTTTAGGCTGTGATTCTCAAACTTTAGCTTGTATCAGAATCACCGGAAGGCTTGTGAAAAGACAGACTGCCAGACTACTAGCCCAACCTCCCCCACCCCTCTGAGATTCTGGGTCAGTAGGTCTGGAGTAAGACTCAAGAAGTTGCATTTCCACAAGTTCCCTGCAGGGCTGGTGTTGTTGGCCTGGGAACCACACTTTGAGAACCCATGTTCAGAGGCAAGCTAATGTCCAAACGAGGAAAAATGACCCAAAAGATGCCCCCTTCACCACAATTGTACTCACATTTAAGCCAGCTTTCTTCCAATAATAGTTGCTATACTGGTTAACCATGCACTTTGTTTTTTCTTTAAACTTTTCTTCTGAGTCAACAGACCACCAAGGATCCAGGTTTCCATTTTTATCATATTTTCTACCTAGCAAAAAGTAAAGTGAAAAGATATTTGTATTATTTATGGAAACTAATTTCTTCATCTTCCCTTTCCCTCACTTCCATAAGCCTTGAAAAAGCAGCCCCAGCAGCAGGGACCACTCTTGGGAGCAGCTCCTGCCTTCTCTCCAGTGTCACAGGTTCATTGTAAAAAGGGAGGAAAGGAGAAAGAGGTTCGAGAAGTTCTTTCCTTCTAAGTTAACAAAGAGTATTTTAAAAATAAGATTCATTAACTTATGGCATGAACCATTCTTAACCAATCTTGGATTCTTTGTTTTCACCTGATCTGACCTCAAATGTTCTCTGGATTATGAAATGAAATGGCTTCATTCAGAAAGCCCATGGAGGGAGCCAGAGCACCACTACCAGTGAAATTCCAAATGATCCATAGGAACAGCCTGGGTGAGTCATTCACACCCTGCGACCACAGCCCCTGACTCAGCCTTATAGCAACGTGTTTCTTCCAAGTTGCCAGGAGCCGAGAGACACATAAAACCTCTGTTATGAATCATTCCACAGCCACCAGTGTGGATGGAAAGCCCATCTGTCCCGCTTTGACAAGGAAAGTTGCTCTAAAAAGAGAACTTGGAACAAGAATGGAAATCTCCAAAACATAATGGGAAAAAAAAGATTAGTTATACATGCTTTTTTGCTACAGGCTCACTCTTCGTTTTCTCTACACCCTTCAAAAAAAGAAGTTTGAGTGTATCTGTGTATCTGAACTATCTTCTATACTCAAGATTACTATTGGTTTAAATTTAATTATGCAGAGAACTCTTCATTGGACTTACAAGAAAGTCCTCTAAGCAAAGCTGTTAACTGGAACAATCCAAAGCTCTTCAGCAAGGTCAGATGCCACTACCACCACCCCCTAGGAGAGTATGGAGTCACTGTCCTCCACCCACTAACCAACCAATCATTAAATAGTTACTGGGCATATACTTATATCTGCATCGCACTGTTCTAAGTATTGGTTACAGAGTGAAATTGCCATCATTAAATTCTGTCCCTTGAGAAAGAATCCAGAAGGCCTCCAGAAGATTCTGGGGGAGAACTGTACTTATATTTCCTAAGGAAGAAAGGCCAGAACCAAGAGATCACTACTGGCTTTTGTTTCTTAGCTAAGACTCTCCTCTCAGATAAACCAAACATGCAAAGACAGAAAGTGAGGCTCTGGGGATTCAGAGGACTACAAGGCAGCTATATTTTAACAGGGAGTGGAGATCAGGGGAACAAAAAACCTAAGCGATTAAGGAATGGCTGGTGTGAGTACAGGAAGAATTGTCCAGAAAGAGAAGAACGAAAAGGGTCTCTGGCCCTGGGGTAGGCATCCAGGAAAGAATGTTGGAGACTACAGACATGAAAGAACATATACAATGTTGCCTTGCCTTGGGCCAGCCGGGTTCCTGAGTCCGCCTGTAACTCATTGCATGGATGTGGGTGTGATCATAATTTGCTGCTAATTCATAAGTTTCAGGGATTTCATGTGGATTTCCAATAATACTCCAAAGTTAGAGGAGGAAGGAATGCTGATTAAAAATGATGATGATTCTCAAAGGGCAATCATTTCTTTAGTTTATGCCATATTCTGCTCTTTCCTTTTGCTTAAATGTCATCAGGATACACAGTATATTCTATATTATGCATTATTAGGAAAGCACAGCCTTTTAAAAAAATTCTGAATATATGCCAGCATAGAGAAAAATAGAGATTAAGCATTGCATAATCCTTGAAATAGTATAAAGGAACCAGTCAGCCAAGCTGCAGAGTCCTAACTCGCTGAGTCCTAACTTGGCAGCATGTATAATCATCTTAGGAGCAGAGCTCACACCTCCAGGGAAAGCATCTCAAGATGGTGAATAAAGAAATCAAGACAAAGGGGAGAAGCTATAAAGCAATTCCTATAACCATGGTGGCAGCACAGCAATCCTGATCTAAATGCAAAGCTAATTTAATTGAAATTACAAGGTCTTTTTTTCATTCTACCCCATCACCAATGGGAACAATTATTTATTTATTGCAAGCATCACAGCAAGACATGGCGAAAAGTTTTCAATCAGCAATCATACTGCCTTGGATAATCTTCAATCTATGAGGATGCCACTATGCAATGATAATAGCAACAATTAACATCCATATAGTCAACATTATCATAAAAGCAGCAGCTTATACAATGAACCAGTACTTACCATTATTATCAAATCCATGTGTAAATTCATGTCCAACAATTACTCCTATAGCACCATAACTCAGAGATCTATGGCATAAATATATAATTTGGAGAAAATTACAATCATGAATCTCAGAGAATAATCCTTTAATTTTTTTCAATGAAAAGCCATGATAATCTGTTTTCTAGTAACCATGGTAATAACAATCTAATAACCACACTCACAAAACTGTAAACACACCCTTCTCATTGAAATGGACAAAGAAAAATATAAATTCTAACATTTTCATTATGTTCATGTATGGGCCTTAGCATCCTACCTTGTGAAATCAGGGATGTGAAAGAGATGGGTTCTCAAGTCCCTTCCAGCCCTAAGGTTTCTATGATTCTAAATCTGCTCCAGCTGTAGTTTATAAACACCCAAAGCAGCAGCAGGGTTTGAAAAGATCCTGTCAGTAAACATACCATTTATTTTTTATCTGAGAATCTGTTGAAAAATCACTATAGACTTAGAAGTTAAATTGTTTTCCAAATGTAGTCATAAAAAAGGAATAAAGCAGAGATTAAAAGGGATCACTCTGCTTTCAAAGGTAGTCACGTTTGTCTGCTGCTGTGACTGACAAGCTCACAACTGAATGGCAAAGCCTGTGAAGCCTTAACCAGGTTCGGAAAAGGTGTTATATTATTTCTCTTCACCTCTGAAGGAACATGAGGTGGCTTACATACAAAGGTGACCACTGACAATTCCACCTGTCTGAATGCATATGCCCCTCCTCCCATCAAGAGGCAATCTATTTCCTTCCCCTTGAACCTGGATGGGCCTCGGGACTTGCTGTGACCAACAGAATGCAGCGGAAGGGGCCGGGTGTGACTCCTGGGCTTAGGCCTTGAGAGGCCTTGTAGCTTCCATTTTTTGCCACCTTGGAAGTCAGCTGTAATGTAAAGAAATTGGACTAACCAGCCCCAGAGAGAGAGGCCAAGTGAAGCAAGTAAGAGATGTCAAAAGTTGAGAGACTTCTAAAGAGAGAGGCCTGCCAGACCCCAGCCAGCAAGCCAGCCCAACTAGGGCACCAGACATGTGAGCAAAGTCATCTTACATCCTCCGGCCCCAGTTGAGCAGCCCCAGCCAACACTACACAGAACAGACAAACCGTCTCAGCTGAATCCTGCCCAAACTGTAGAATCATGAGCCAATATGTGGCTGTGTGGCAGCACTTTGTTACGTAGCAATAGATAACTGAAACAGAACCTATTAATGATATCTGAAGAAATTGATACAGTGGCTTCCACACGTGTGTGTCTGGGATCTTCTCTCTCAACTACAAGTTCCATGGAGGCCAAACCCTTATCTACTTGATCACTGCTAAATGCTCTGTACCTAGTACACAGTAAGAAAGCAACAAAGATTTAACCAATTCATTAATTAACTTTACCACTTCATGCAAGTGACAGATCTATATGTAACTTCTTTTAGTCATTTAACATGTGGACAAGGATTACAAACAACTTAAAATCCTCGTTATGAGGATTCTTCCTGAGATTTGCAATTATGCTAAAAATATTTCACAGTTGGTTCCTGACATGCAACATCAAAGTCACCCAGCAAATAGACAGGACCCATAAGTGGAAGGAAGGAGAATTTTTGAAGCAACATATTATTACAGGACATAATGATCCTTAACATGCTAATTGTTTGTCTCAACTATACCCAAGGAAGTGCTGTAAGATTTAATTTTTCCCCTTGGTGGCAATTCTTTCCTTTGTTATTTCTTTCCTGCAAGGTAATTTGCATTTGAAAAAATGCTTCCTACTGTTTTTCCATCATTGCAAACCTTCATTAAAGAAGTAAGAGTAAAATTATGCATTTCAATCATAGAACTATCATAGCAGTGTGGGATCAACTCGTAATTTTACATAGTGCTAATTTTTGCAGCAGTAGCTATCACTGTGCAGCCTGTAACATTCCGTTTTTCCAGACCTCTCAGCCCTGAGAATAGTACTCAGTCCTCTACAACCCACAGTTGATGCTATTGACTGGATGAATTTAAGGGATGAACAATGGAAGCTTAGAGGAACTGCTCTGCAATAAATGTCCCCTAAGAGGGACCGCTCCAATGAGCTTCCTATTTGCAAAAGATAATAGAGAATTCTGAAAATGATTGAATCATTGTAAGTTCCAATTCTCAGTTACATAATCACAATCCTTTGGACAAGAGACAAAGAAAAAGTAATTTTATACAGCTAAGACTGACAACGATAAGGTTTCATAATACTAAATTCACATCTCCCATTTTATCAATGGACATTATTTAAATTAGCATGTTATAAAAATAAGTAAACTTGTATGCCTTTTAATATGTGTCTGGCTGGCCAGAAATAAGAAGACTCCTACAGAGAAAATCCACCCTTCCAAAAATAAAATGGAGAAGACAACTATTTTTCCACCTACTCGGTTTCTTTTTTGTTCTTACTACCCAATGGGTTTAATATATGCACAGGATTTTCTGTCAACAACAAAACAACCGTACTGCTGTCTGGAGCAACCACGATCTCACACGATCATCAAGTAAAGGCTACTCTACGTCTGAATTGGAAATTTACAAAAATCCTAGAGTTGGAAGCAGCTTTAAGCCCAGCTGGTTCAACCCCTTCTCAGAGGCATGAAACCCCACTACAAAAACCTGTTCAAATTGTTTTAAGACTTTTCCTTGGGCATTGCCAATAACCAGGAGCTCACTCCTTTCTGAAGTAGCCCATTCCCTGTTTGGGTGGTTCTAAATACAACATCTCTTCCTAATATTAGTCCGGAATCTCTTTCCTATGTCTTCTGTTGGTCTAGTGTAGTCTCTAGCTGAACACCGCTGACCTCCCTGAATATAGTAAATCATTCTGTCACCTTAACTTTCCTTCAAAAATGTGAAGACAGTTATGAGGTTCTCCCTCAAGTGTTCTTTTTGTAAGGTCTTCCAACTTTTTTTCTTCAGTCATGAATTCTAGACGAGCATTTCCCAAAATATAGGGAAAAGAGGAGTTTAGGAAACTCTGGGTTAAAAACATTTAAATAGGGTTCTTTCTTGCAGAACTTCTTGGGAATTTTTATGCTGCTAAGTATTGTGATTCTCTCAAGTAAAAGGAATGGGAGGACGACTTGCCTCTATTACTACTTCAAAGAATACACACTTTAGGAAATGTTGTCTTAGGCCATTTACAATCCTGATTCTCTCCCCTGGAAACAATTCTGCTTGTTGATGTCCCATAATTAGACCCAACACTCAGGGGAGGGCAAAGGTGATGTGAGCAGAAAGGATATCAATTCACTGGTTCTGGAGGCTATCCATCCAGAACAGAAGGACGTATGGGAAGCCATCTCACTAGACTGTGATGACCATGTCTCCAGTATCTGCATATTTCTAAAAGATGCTTAATAATTATTCTTTGAGCAGATATCTTAATAGAGGATGGATGGCTTCACTGAGGACATAGAACTCTTACTCCTATAGCTACCCATGTTCTATTGCAAGTTTTTGAGCAAATAAGCTGTAGCCTATTAATACCCAAGCTCCTTACCTGGCATTCAGAGCCCTCCAATATCAAACCTCCACCTTCTTTCCTGTTACTTCCCTTCATATACCACTTGGACCAGCCACACTAGACTCTCTGATATTCTACAAGCACTTTCCCTTCCTTTTCTCACATTGTTTCTTACATTTGGAATGGTTTTAGACCCATCACCATCAACTCAAATTCTAACAATCCTTCAATGTCCAAATATTTGTAGTATGAGTCAATATATAAGTGAATAAACAAATAAAAATGAAAGCTGTCTACGTATAAGTTGGCTTTCCTGTTCAGTCACACACCTTAGAACAAGAATGAGAAAACAAATACCTAAAATGGTGAGAGTCAGGCCAACCCACACCAGGTTCCATGCCCTCTTTTTGCTGAACAATCATCAGCTTTGGTTTTTTGACTTTATATTCTGTGCTCTGCCAAAGCAGCATGTTCTTCCTTACTTGTCCATAACTGGTTTCTTTACTAATTTACTTACCGAGGATATTCTGTTCCCCAAAAGAAAGGCTTCTGGAGCTCTCCTGCTGGAAATCCTGGGAGAAAGACAAAGAAACAAACAAAATTATACGGGATATCGAGAGATTGAGTCAATGATGACTACCTGCTTCCAGCTGTAGCCTTGGGGTTTCAAAGGCCCACCTGAAAAGTACTCCTCGTGGAGCTGGGAGCCCTCAAAGACATGCAACAGCCTCTAAGAGGATATTAATGTAACTGAGTTTGAAATAAGTGCATTGTATCAGTTTTAAAGAAAGAACCCATTTTGCATGGACACACTATTGGCAGTGTCCAACCTGCTGTGAACTGAGTTCCTTCATACATAGCATGTGCAGGAGGCCTCCAGCTGCCCAGTAGCTTCCCCTGATACAGAAAGGGCCAGCTTCATGGGCACACAACCTGTGTAATCACACGGGACGCCCCACACTGAAGGATCTTGCACTTGGTTTAATGCTCTGCTATTGCTATCTTGAAATCCTTGATAGTTTTACCTTTGAACTTGCTTTCATAATTAGAGCCTGAGGAGATAAGGAAGCATGCATGTGAGCAAAGGACCGGAGTACGATATGTATGCTCACAGGTCCTAGATGACCCATTTGCATACAGCATTCATGATGCTTCCCTCCAGGAGCACAGAACTCCAGTAGACCCACAACGCGTGGGAATTCAGTGAAACTCAAAGTGAGTACAAGGGAAGCATGTTATATCTAGGCTGAATAGGTGGGGGTTCTGACAGCCTCAAGGGGCAATTCCTTCTACTGGAACCAGAATTTGCTCTGATCACCAAAAGAAGGCAATGGCATTCTAAGAAACACAAATGAACAAGGAACTCTATCACATCCTTTCTTACTCCTCTTACTTCCCTGCAGTAGCCAACCATTTACACTGCAATAGATGACATAGAAGGACAGGGAGAGACAGGGTGACTCATGGTTTCTTTTCCTTTCAGTCCTTCCTTACATATCAGTAAGCCAAAAGTAGAGAGTATTGGTAGAAGGTGCATGTATTAAGAAGTGAAATAAAAAGAGCTGAGTTAGTTTTGTGCAACATTTCTACTATTCTGGTAAGAACAAAATATATATTCATGTACAAGCTACAAAATACAAACTGTGATTTTGGTGATTCCACATACAAGTTAAATGCTCTTATATTTACATTTAAAATGGGCATTGCACAATATAAAGATGAATTTGGTAAAATTATGCTAATGATTTTAAATTTTAGTTTTTCTTACAACTTATAACGATATTAAATGGTAAATAAAACTACCATGCCAAGTCTAGAGAAAGAGGGACCGTGGAAGACAGGACAAAGCTTTATATTTTAGCACCTTTAACAGCACTTTCTCCTGATTGCTGAAGAGGGAGCCACTACATTTTCACTTTGCACTGGGCCCTGCAAATTATGTAGCTGGCTCTGGATGCAGGTGAGTGGGAGAAATGTTTTGCTTTGCCGCTGCAACTCACCACTAAATTTTGTACCCTGGGTTGATCCTAAGAGCTGCACTTAACAAGTTATCAAGCTGGGAAGGCAAAGCACAGTAACAAAAGAGAGACAGAGAGAGAGAGATGCCTTCTGCAGTGTCCTTGCCTGCTCCAGAGCCACTGCTCAGGGCCCCTTGAGACTGCAAGCTCTTTTATGAGTTAAAATGTTTTCTCTTCCCTCTCGCCCTCTCAACATTCTACCTCCCCTCCATGACAAGGCACTATGAGGCGAAGTGAGGGTAGGGAAGCAAGTTCTTAATTTAGAAGTGAAATGTTAATTCTATATAACTAGTATACATATTCCTTCTATTTTCTTAATAATGTCATAGCTTGAGAATTCGAGGTGCAAAATCCTAATTGCAAAACAGCAATGGATCCAGCTAGTAGTTCTCTTTCTTCCTGCTGCTTTCACATAAAGGACAATGCATCTGACTTTCAAGGGTAACGCCATATTAACTTCATGATTTCTACATTTTCTGATATCTTTGGCATCTTTACATCAATATTCCATCCTCTTTTTTGATGATTACTTTTAGTAAGTCATTCTGACTTGGAGATACATATATGTAAATATATTATATATATACGCAAATAACAGTGTTTACATGAAAATTCCATCTCACACAATATATCATCAAAAAGCAATGATATTCCCTACTAAGAACAATGATCATAAACCAATGTGATTTAATTATTAAATCATTATGGCTTTCCTGCTTGGTAATGTGCCCAGCTGGAAGCATTTGTGTCCACTGCCAACCTCTTTACAGAAAACATCTGACACCTGCATGAGCCTCATTTCTGCTGCTGTTGCAATGAGAGGCCTCAGACAGCACACTCCTCTGATCAGCTGTATCTGCTCAACTTGTCAGGGCCATGGAACCCAACACTGATCAACAGCAGAATCTGATGCCCTCAGGACTATTCTGCTAAAGTGAATGGATTAACAGTTTAAGCTGCATTTTTGGAGACGTCAACTGGCAAGAGTGATAGATGGAATCCCAACAGGGCGAACTCAATATCTTATCTCATAAAGTGGATAAGTTGTATTTAGCAAAGGTAGAAGTAAAAAATAAATGGAAATGGAATTCTTTCTCTTTCCCTTTTCAACAGGCTTTTCTTACATTTTCTTGCGTATCCATTTTCTTTCTTTTTTCCCCCATTTCAGCACTGCCTCACCACTTGTTTCACATCTTTAAAGATCCTTTTTTATCAGTATATTTACGGGAGGCATTCCTCACAGAGTAAATGTGTGTGTGTATATATGTACACATTTACATACATACAGACACACACACATATGAGCGATAGGAAAGGAGGGAGAGGGAGGAAAGAGAAACTATTAGATTGACAAAAATTAATAAATTTGATAATAGGTAATACTGGCCAGGAAGCACACTGGTAGGAATGTAAATTGTTGCAAGCAGTTTGAAGAGCAATTTAGTCATCTCTTAATGGTTTAAATGCCATTTTAAAAATGAGTAACTACATGCTGATATGGAAAAAGCTCCAAGAGATATTAAGTGAAGAAAAGAAACTAAGTGAAAAAACAGCATTCAGTCCTGTATGGGGTCCTTTTATGGGTGACGTATGTGTAAATGTATGTATAGGTATATACTGTCAGTTCTGCTATAACACTTACCATTGCAAAGGCAAATTTGTTCCAACGTGATTGAACATATTAGGGGAAAAACGGGGGCATAACTCCAATTTCACGTTTGCTTATGTGCAATTTTGTCCATGAGAAATGTTAAATGAAAGCAGAAAAACTCACCCAAATGTACTGAGGCCGCATAGGAATACACAAAATGCACACATCCCAACATGAACCAGCTACCTCAGTTCACCGCATGTGTCAGAAGCCACATCCACCCACATCTGGTGTTAAAATCTTCCTCCCAATTTCAGATAACCCACCGTCTACCGCTACACTATAACTCACAAGCTGCAAGCTCTCCAACACCCACTTCCACAAGCCAAATTCAGGTCTTGTCAAGGGAAAGCACCATATTTACTGCGTCATTTATGTATTTATCTATTTAACACGTGTAAAACTGTGCTGCCAGCCCTGGTGGTCTAGTGGTTAAGATTCGGTGCTCTCAACATCGAGGCCCAGGTTCGTTTTCCAGTCAAGGAACCACACCACCTGTCTGTTGGTTGTCATACTGTGGTGACTACATGTTGCTGTGACACTGAAAGCTACGCCACCGGTATTTCAAATACCAGCAGGGTCACCATGGTGGACAGATTTTAGCGGAGCTTCCAGACTAAGACAGACTAGGAAGAAGGACCTGGTCACTCACTCGCGAAAGAACTGGCCGTGAAAACCCTATAAATAGCAGCAGAGCATTGTCTGATACAGTGCCAGAAAGGTAGAGGGTGGCGCAAAAAGACCAGGCAGGGCTCTGCTCTGCTGTACACAGGGTCTCCAGGAGATAGAATCTACTGGAAGGCACTAACAACAACAACAACAAAACTGTACTATCATTTTTATGAGGCTCCTAGCTTTTGTTTTCATGTGTCACCAATAAAGTTTTTGATTGTTATGTCCCTAATTTCATTTTGCCCATAAGCCCTATGGCTTTTACAGCACAATTTTGCATAGTGCAGTGATGTCTAGGAACATAGATACCGTGCTATAGCAGAACTGACTGTATATGTACACAAATGCATCTACGTATATATGTACATACATATATTCCTGCCAGTGGTTCTCAAATTTTATCAGGCATCAGAATCACCTGGAGGGCTTACTGAAGTACAGATTGTTGGGCTCCACCTTCAGAGTTTCTGAGTCAGTGAGTCTGGAGAGGGGGCTAAGAATGTGTATCTCTAACAAGTTCCCTGTGACACTGATGCTGCTGGTCGAAGAACCACTGCCCACTCACTGGCTTGTGTGCTCTGTAGAGTCATGACTAAATATGTTCATTGCTGCATTGCTGTAATTGAGAAAAGTGTGCAACAAACTAAACGTCCAACAGGATGGGAATGACTTAATTATGGTATAACCATATCATGGACTGCTATACAGCAAATGAAAAGAGGTAGGTCTTAATATTCTAGCATGGAAAAATCTCCAAGACATGTTGTTGGAACAAAGCAAGGCACAGATACAGACATATAAATATCATTTCTATTTTTTAAATAACTATCCTATCAGTGTGAGTATATGTATGTAAATACACAAAAAAGGTCTGCAAAATACCTATCAAACTGATCACAGTGGTTATCTGTTGCAGATAATTGGGATGGGGGTGGGTTGTTAAAGGGGCTTTGGGCATAAATGTAATGTTTTAAATTTTGATTAGTCAAAGGTAATCAACTTGTGTAATTAAAATTAACTCTTAAAGAAATAAATGTGTGTATATTATAGAAAATTCTTCTAAAGGTTATCCAAAAACAGTTTACAGTTAACTAAGCTCACATGGTAGTATTTTGCTCTTGCACTTGTCAACACTAGCAAATTTCATTCCTATTTCAAGCAAAAATACAGATTGTGGTTATATAATTCCAAAGACTAAAAATCTGACAAAAGAAAATACTGGTATCTTTAT